CAGAGGAAAGGAAGGGAGAAGGCGAGGAATACAAGTTAACCATTAGATAACTTTCAAAGAAACCCCCCTGAAAACACATTGCTGGAAGAAGAAGCCCAATGTAAACGAAAAAGGTACTCCTGCAGTTTGCTTTAGAAATAAAATTCTATAATAGAGTTGAAAACCTGTTTTCCATTTTGCAAGGAGAATAAAATAAGTTAAATTAAAATGAAATCAAGGAATTAATTGAAAAAACGAAAGAGAATCAAGACGTTGCCGTTGGCCACTTATTTTTGACCACAAAAAAAGGGCTGGTTCTGATGGAATTGAAATGTTTTAAGTGAATACCATTAACACTATACGTATATTTCATGAAATGCGTAGCAACCCCCAAACTGTTAGGAAGAAAAAATTTCTCTTAATTTTCCATTTAAATTAAATTTTCTTTATCTAAATTTCTAAATTTTCTTTAAGTATTTATACTTAATCTTTTTTTGAATTTTTTGTTACTGTTATGTATAGGCGAAGTATTAACATTACATCTTTTCAACTGCTACCACTTCCTCTATCCCTTTAAGGTCTTACAATTCTTTTACTCTTTTCATTTCTCCCAATTTACATCTTTTTCATCTATTTAATTCTTACACCTTACTAAATTATATTATTACCACAGTTGTCGTACTGACGAGGCCCAACTGTGGCAATAGTAAGAAATGTATACGACTTAATGGACCGAAACATTTCTTACCAACTTTAATAATTCTTTACATCTCTTTCATTTTTTGTTCATATTTTCTCCAAAACCTTAAATATATATCAAATAGCAGGTGAATAGTAACCAGAGATATGTAGGTCGCGACTGAAATCCTGCCAGAGGCTACAGTCGATATGTGTGAACATCCCAGTAACACAGATTGCCCGGGCAGTCTTGATATTTCTGATACATGATTTTTGATTACCTAAGCAATTAGCAACGTAAAATTTAAAAAAAAAATGCAATAAAACTATGGGCGATTGCAGTCTACCAAAATTTTCAGAAGATATTTTGCGAGGAAAAATTCTAACCATAGTGAAGGTTCTCAGCATTGGTTAAGAAGCATAAGCGCGCAAGCGAGATGGACGGATTGGGGGGCAAGACCGGTCGCCCAGAGTGCAACGAAGGAATGACGGAATGAGGGGAGATTGGAATGAGAAGTGAACTAGTTTAAAGGATTTGTAAACTGAATAAGTTATGCTTTGGAATGTTGTTTTTATTCGCTTGCTTACACAGAGAAATCACCGCCCCATTCGAGAGAGGACGGACTTATTTTAGTCTTATTAAAAAAAAAAATCGCTCGTTCTTAGTGCGCCACTGAGATTAGGATGAAAAAAAAAGAAAAGGTTAAAAATCGAGCCAAAAAAAGCTCACTGATTTACGACGTTTCGGTCCATTAACCTGTAAAAGATTTTCGGTGCAGATGAACTGCTCACCTTTCATAAAGAAAAAAAAAAGATTTGAGGCCTTTAAAAAGGAAAATTTATTTCAGTTCTTAACTAACGAATTTGAAAAAATAACTTTCAAATCGAAAATTTTAAAATAATGCGGCAAGAAATTGAAGTTAAAAAAAATAAAGAGCAAAAAAGAAATTAATGCTCCTAAAAGTTTCAGTCCCAAAACAGAATTTGCAAAAAAGAAACCCAGAGTGTCTAAGCCATGTTGAGAAGTAAGAAAATCAAACCATGTAATAATTTAAAAAAAAATGAACTTCCAAAGGAGAAAAAATTAAAAAAATAAGATGAGAACATCAAAAAATTTCACTTTTTAAAAATTTTCTTAACTTTTTTAAACCAATAATTTTAAAAAAATAAGCTATCAAAAAAGAAAAAATTGAAAAAATGAGATGAGAATATCAAAAAATTTCATTTTTTTAAAAATTTTCTTAACCTTTTTAAGTCAACAACATTTTTATTTTACACTGAAAGGTCGAAAATTTTAGAGTGATATTAATTTTTTCATTTCCGTTTAACAAAATAAAAATTTCGATTTTTGATCAAAAAACAATTTATCAGTTTGAAAATGGGAAAAGTTAACAAACCGGCTCGAGGACCGGATATCCATGCGTTTCATAAATGCTCGAGCGCGTTCTTTCAACCGTTCGCTTTGGGATCGTTGCAAATTTGCTGCTGCCGCTGCCGCTGTTGCTGCTGCTGCTGCCACTGCAGCCGAAGTTGGAGCCGTCGTGCATCTGGAATTCACACGGGAAAATTTTGGAAAAAATTTGATAAATTTCGAACGGAAAACTATCTGAGACGGGAGCTGGTGCAACAGTTTTTTCAGAGTGCTACAAAACTGACGCAGTTCGGGAAACGATGGTACTACTATAGTTTGGCGAAACTCAGAAAAATGAAATTAGCAGAAAACCCGCGCCGTGTTTCGTTTTCAACAAACGCGACAAGAATTTTTTTTCCGTCCTTTTTAATAACATGCTCTTTTTTCTCCCCCTCATTATTTTCTGCCCTTTTTAGTAATAAATTCTTTTTT